CCCGGCCGGTCCCGCAATGAGGGGCGCAATGCGATATGCCCGGCCGGTCTGGCAGGAAAACGAACGGCGAGGTGAATTTGACTTTACCTGGCAGCGCAGGCTTATCATCAATGGTCAGCACATAGACATATCAGCATAGTTTTGATTTTGTCGGGCTGTTGATTGGCTCATGTGAATTATAGACTGAAAAAAACAGGCAGCACGTGCTAAATTTTAGTGCTATTTGTCTTTGGCACGAAAGTGTTCCAAGGCTCTAAAATGTAGCACCTTCGTGGCATTTCAGTGCCTTTCCATAAGCTATTTCGGAGAAGTGGTAGAGAAGAAGAGCACGAATAACAAAAGCGCTACTGCGCATGAGCAGGCTAGGGTGGGGGGCGGCGCTCCCCCACCCTAGCCTGCTCATGCGCAGTAGCGCTTTTGTTATTCGTGCTCTTCTTCTCTACCACTTCTCCGAAATAGCTTATTGGCGGTCATCGTTTTGCACCTCTGTATAAAGTCATTTGAACCTCACGAGGTGCGTGAAAAGCCGCTCTTTGAAACGCTTTTACGAAAATTTCTGCGCATACTGTAAGGTTTTGTGATATATTTAGACAGTCCCCAAGACTGTCTCTACCAGTAGGCAAAGTCTAACCCCCCCCCCTTTCCACCCTCTTTGGGGAAGCTATTTGATAAGGGGGACAAGTAGAAGGTAGCTCCGAAGGAGATAGCGTGGCTAGCGCCGTCCCTAAACAAAGCATAACTCAGGCGATCGTACTGTGTTCTGCCGGGAGTGGATGTGTGATCATAAACCAAGTTTTGTTTAATTTGTTAAGACAAATTGGGTCAAGATTATACCGGAGTACTAGCATTTCTTGTGTCAATAAGTGGTTGTGTAAAAGTTAGGCTTCGTTACAGTACACAATCTTCTAGCCTGCACCGCCCGGTGTCGTTGTCTAGGTCAGTGTACGGGCATATTGCATTGGTACAATTGCAACTTAATGATATGACTCAACTGTCGCAATAAACCGTAGTGAAGGTGATACCAAGGTGCTAGATGTAGATGCAGAGGTCCGTTCTTAACCCTTTAAAATCTAACGACATGCGACATAACCTCTGCTAGGCTATCGCGCAGCTTCCATAGGCACAGGTTTGCCGCTAGCGTGTGAGGGTTTGTCGTTTTGGCTGTTGCCCCCCCCCCCCTCTTTTCTCAGCCGCCCGCCCGCCGATGATCGGCATTGTTCGTCTCCCGAGCGCTAGGGTGCGCTGCTCTACCGACCGAGCCTGAGCCTGAGCCTGAGCGGTCAGCCAGCAGTCAGTCAGGCGGGCCAGGAGGCCAGGAGGTGACACGTCTCACGTCAACAAATCGTCAGAGAGCGTAATCGAGCAGCAAGCACCAAGCACCACCTAACCGCAGCCCGAGACACGCCGCCTCGCCTACTCGTCCAGCCCAACAAGGCCTATCACCAATTCACAGCGCAAAGGTACTGCACGTATTTATTTGCGTATACAGCACTGGCAGTCCTGTTCCGACCGCGAGCCAGAACGAGTGACGAAGTTCTTGAACTGGCCGCAGGGGTGGTCGACACCTAGTGTCGGGTACGAGAACTTCGTCCGCGTCGGCCAATCAGCGCCAATAAGGAGGGTAGGGTTCAGGAAGAATAAAGCTTCCCGGCAAAGCTGAAATGAAGAATGCAGGGAACAAGAAGACGACGGAAGTCACCATGTTAATGCGGTTCCCCGTTTTCTTCTTTCCCGCATTCTTCTGCATTTCAGCGTTACCGGAATGCTTTATTGCTGTTCGTCTTCCTTCCTGCGAACGTCGCTCTAAACCACCGTGCTCCCGTGTGCTCGCAGACCACCATGCAGCCGCTCCTGGACGACGAGCTGATCATGGTGCTGCAGAACGTGGACGTGGCCGACCTGTTAACCTGCCGCCTCGTGTGCAAACGGCTCGGAGGACTGGCCCTGCACCCGGACGTTTGGCGGCACCGGCGCCTGCGCTGCTCGTTGGACCCCTTGCACGCGCCGACGCTGCGCCTGGCGCCGTGCCTGGGAGAAGCGATGCTCGTGCTGAGGGATGGGAGTCCTACTCCGCTGTACACCGAGACCGAGTGCGCCATGGCTGGCTTGCGTGTCTTTATGAGCGGGGACGGCAAAGAGGTGCTCGCAAAGGCCCTGCTTGTGGTCCGCAACCAGCTCGCGCTCGGGCGGCTCCGCAGTGTGTCCTTGGTTCTTGATTTCGAGGAAGTTGTAGATGTCCACGAGCTGTTCGATCTGCTGGCGTCCACGTGCGAACTAGAGGAAATCGAGATTACGATTAGGTGTGTAATGACCGCAAGATGGGAGCCCAACTCGCTGGCACCCCCACCCAGGCCGTCCCTGAAGCGGCTTCACTGTATACGCCCAGATACTCACCCCTTCAACCTCTTCATGCTGAAAGCTCACGCCGCCACTCTTGAGGAGTTCCACTTCTCGCCTTGGGGGGAGTGGCTGCCTCTGCCCAGCATGCCCAACCTCCGCGAGCTCGAGGCTTGCGCGTTCTCCGGGATGGCTGCCTTGGCGACGTGCACGAAGCTGCGGAAGGCCGTCCTGAACGTGTTCTGGACAGACCCCTGCGGCAAGGACGCCGAAGAGTTCCTGCGCCGCGCGCATCAGCTACAATCAGTCTCCCTACACTACACGATAAGAGAGCGAGGCGACGCCCTGGACCTGGTCCTCGCCCTGGCTGGGCGCCCCGGCCAGTCCCGCTTGGAGAGGCTAGAGATCCACGACGAGCACACCGAATGCGCGGACTACCCTCACCTGCCGCCGCTGCTCGCCGCCCTGCCGTCGCTGACGGCCCTGCGCCACCTGGAGCTGAATGCCGTGGTCGAGGGGCTGGCCGGGTCCATCACCCCCGCGACGGCCCCGGCGCTGCGCACCCTCAGGCTCACCCCGGTCGCGGGGTGGAAGGGCGTGTGCGCCCACGCCCACCTCCACAAGCGCTCCGTCCAGACCCTCATGGCGGACAACCCCTTGGTGGTGCTGCTCATGCGCGCGCGCCACTTCTGCTTGCCTGAGAAGTACCCGTGCACGACATGCGCCCTCGGCTGCCATCAGGATATGTGCGCCGCGCAAAAGCGACTGGCGGACAACAGTCGTTGCTCTTGGGTCAACATGAATCAGTTTAACATCCCTCCTAATGATTCACCCCCCAATTAATTTCTAGTATTGATGATGATTGCTATTCTCTTCTGCCTGCTTACCTTATCGGACGGATCAGCGTTATGTACTCGTTTCACACGATTATTGTTACCATAGACGCCCCCAATAATTACTGACGCCAATAATAATTCGCCTTTTAGTGTTCATTCCATTAATAAAAGTTTCTTAATTTATCCGTGTTAATGTCATTTCGGTCTACTGTCTCCCCATGCACCCATGCACAAGGACTATAGAGGCGGCAGATAGCATATCATTACACAATAAACAACTGTAATATTTTATGAAACAGTATATATTAATGTTCAAAAGTTCTACATACCCATCAGTAGTTCGAATGTATACGATAAGACGCGGGAGGGTTAGGGGGGGGGGGAGGGAATTACTGTGGAAGTACATAGATGACAACGCCACCGCCGCATTAAATTTCTTTCTGTGAATGTTTGTGTGGCGTGCTTTTAATTGAGTTGACAAGGCGGTCTGCTGGTCGGGTGACGTCGCTCTTTCCACACGTTTTTACATCTGCCCCTTTCTGTCGAGTTTTTCTTCCGATATTTAAAATGGGATTGTCTTCCGCTCCCGCGCAGTGCCGCGCGGTGCGTGTCGCTTCTCTCGCTTCTCGTCGGCGGTAGGATATGCCAGAAAAAGAGCTCCCCGGACGACGAAAATGAGAAACACGGTATAGACGGACAGTCGGACGGCAGAATAAAAAAAACAGTGGTGAGAAAGTAATTGTCGTGGAACCTGTGGGGACGTAAATGCAGCGCGAGAAAATGGAAACAGTTCTGCATCCTAGGTCTAAGGTAGTAAATGGAAACACATATGATCGTTTTATCGAAAAATTTAGGTGCTCCAGCCGGCTTTAGCTCAATCTTTTCCGCTCCAGTAGAATAACTTTGTTTTTGTTGTGCTTGAAAAAACAAATCATTTCGCTCTTTCGTTCCCGTTAAAAAAAAAATCACACAACATATTCGCGGTTGTGCCCAAATCTTACATCCCCTCCCTCCTGCCTTCACTCCACACATAAACATAAAGGGCGGTGAAGGAAGGCAAAGGTGTGTGTCGCGTCCCGTTGTCATGCCGAGGTGGGAATCGGCAGTGATTTTACGCACGAGATAAACTGCAATGGCGCAGTTAGTCAAGGTGCGCGTCCCATAGGAGCGTCGTGTGGGGTCTGCTCGCACCAACAGTTTTTTTTTTCTTTGCATAACTATGTTTCTACATTTTACATTTGTTTAATCCCTTGCGTTTGTATTCACATCAAACTTTTCTTTGCTTGTGCAAGGCCTGCAAGACTTTCCCGAGATAATTGGTAACGATGACTATTTTCCTCGTCTATTACAAGTCCATCTCACCAATCTTACAGCCCCAGAGGCGTTCCATTCTCGGGTTACGTATGCGCACTTGCACTCCCATTACTTGTTGGTAACAGAAGTACGCTCACAGTCAATTAAATGATGCGGTTCGCATCGCAGTTGTGTGTGGCCGAAGGAAAAGGGGGGAAGGGGGGGGGGGGTTACTGCGTGCGGGACTGTGAGTTACGACTCTTAACACTCACCGAGCTCGCTAACGTCGTGCTCTTTCACGCGAAGGTGAAGTGTGTATTGCAGGTCAATACATCTTTGGATGCCCGGTTATTTAGTAAACCTGGTCTCCCACAGTAATTGCCCAGGTTGTGTCAAAAGAGGCTAATCTTTGGCATTGTCTGAATCAGAAATGCCTAATTTATATTTTTTTTTTTTACGCTGAGCTCACTGGGAGGGACTGGAACTAGACTACCGCCTGTGCGGCCGCCCTCCCTGGATAGGAGGTGTTGTGTAAGGCCAGGGCCTCGCGCGCGCGCTGGTCACTCGCTATGGCACAATAGCCCGGTGCGTTTGAATTGTTCGTGCTTGTCGGCTCATAACTAACGTATCGACTGCTGCTCACTTTGACGACCTGTCCGGGCCCTTCTTGTACCGTGTCGGTGTGGCCTGCCGACATCGCAGCGCGGTGTATACGTCTAGCGCTCGTGGCAGTCGCGGTATTGGTTCACGGCCGGCCGACCGCCGCCGTCACCCAATTCTTTTCTGTCCAACTTTTGCCATCGCAATGATCACAAGAATCTCCGCTCTAGATGTTGGTCTGAAGCAGAAGGTCACACCGCGCCTTATGGCCCTCACCGTAGTACTCGATGGCTTCTCCCCTCGCGAGCGGTTCGCCTCATCGCCTCTAAAATAAAAAGCTCGGGCTTTGGACTTTGAAAGTGACGGTTCACAGCCTGCGCGGCCGCTCTTCCCCACTCTGGGGATCATCGCTCGCACGATCAGGGGTGCCACGCCTCGCGCACTGATCTGGCGGGATTGCTGCCGGGGTGACAGTCATTTGTCGTCTGCTCGACGGGCAGGGGCGGGGTCGCGCTGCTGTTGCAGGTATAGGGTTGGCCATCCGTCCGCGGCGGCTTGCGCCCCGGCGCCGCTCGGCAGCGCCCCTCTGTTCCGTTCGGGGATTTGCGTCTGAGAAAACAACGCGCCCTCCGCATGTGACGGGCCCGGGACGCGGGCCGCCCGCCGGGCGCACTGGCGCGAGCGCCGCGCCGACCCGCCGCGACCCCGAATTAAAACGGAGCCATAAATAACTCCGGCGACTATTACTCGTAATGAATTCCGAGGGCAATTGAAAGTGGGTTAAATCGGAATTGCGCGGCTGCGGCCCGCGGCGCGCTGTCGATATGTGTGTGTGTGTGTGTGTGTGAGAGAGAGAGAGAGAGAGAGAGAGAGAGAGAGGGAGGCAGGCAGCGTGAGGAGGAGCTGGCGGGTTGAGTGCGTGGCTGTGGCTGCATGATTTACTGTGCTGCTTCCAAGCGCCGTCGCTTTCCTGTTGTCAGGTGCCCCTCGCCTGGCAGCCCCCAGGGTGCGCACCCTCACCGGGGCGCACCCTGGGCGCACCCTCACCGGGGCGCACCCTGGGCGCACCCGGGGCGTACCCGGTAGGGCTGTGCGATACACAGATTTTGATATCGCGATACGATATCAGGCAGGTATCGAGCATCGCCTCGATACATCGAGGCTCGATATTATCGACGTATCGAGGCGTATCGATGGTATCGAAGCACGATATCGGGGTATATCGTGCCTTCGATACTTTAAAATACCCACGATACAGCACGATATCGAGGTATATCGTGCCTTCGATACGCCGACATACCCACGATACGCCTCGATACCATCGATATTATCGAGCCTCGATATCGATATGTCGATATCGGAACCATATCGAAGCCCTCGATATCAACATGATATCGTATCGATATCGAAATATCGAGATATCGCACAGCCCTAGTACCCGGGACGTGCCACCACGGGCGTTCCCCCCTGGGTGGTGATCGCGTCGCGGTCTGCCTACCCGGCGCCGCGGTTGTGCAAGGCGGCGCCGGGTGACCGCGGGTGATCAGGGCCGAGCCCTCGGCAGCCAGGCCCAGGCCAGAGAGGCCCCGGCCAGAAGCCCAGGCGTGTGGCCACGCAACGCTCGTGAGATGGCAGTTCCTATACCGCAGGCCACCGCAGCACGAGTAGGCCGCCGTAGGCCGCGCTGTTGGGACCATTGTTCGCGGCCGGGCTATCGTGTTTTGCAAATCGAAAAGCATACGCCGCCGGAGGTGGCCGCCGCCGGCCCCTCCCGCAGCTCGACGCGCGGGCGATGTGGAGTGCGTGTCCGGACACTGGCATAGTTTTTTTGCCCCCGAAGTGAGGCGGGGCGGACTGCTTCCCTTGGCTGCAATTTGTTTCCTTTTTTCCCCGTGCCCTTCTCGGCCCTAAAGTGGACACGGTGGGAATAGAGTGCCGAACTCCAGTAATGACCGCAGCTTGTCATGCGATTGCGAGAAAGGCCATTTTGGCGGTGTGTGTTTTTTTGTACCCTTCTCCGTCGCTCTCTCTCTCTCTCTCACTCTCTCACTCTCTGAAGGACCTTCTGCTGGCTTGACTAACAACCACGTGTCAGACTGCAGGTCGATGGTGTATCTGGTTGCCTTTTGCTGTATCTCGTCCCTCCCCGTCGCTCCCAGCGGCGAGTCCGGCAGGGGGAAGAGAAGGGGCCTAGGCCTGTGGCTGGCCGACCGGAGCAGGTCGTTCGATCAATTAATCAAAATAGTGAGCAGCGGACGGGCGGCCGGACTGACAGCGACGGGACGACGAGCCGAGACACGGTGGCCAGTGCGCAAGTTATCTGTATTGCGCAAAGCGGGCTTGGGGGCCCCCGTCCCGTGGGGTCACACCAGGGGCTCGGGGTCCCCGGGGCCGCCACGTTGCCCGCCACAGAGCCCCATCGCCCAGCACGCACGCCCGCCCGCCCTCAGACCCATTCCGGGCTTGTATGGGACAGGTACTTCGTATCAGCCCCGCACTCTAAACTGGTTGGCGTCTTTTAACGCCAAAGAATTGGCGTTCTGT